GTCAATTCCTTGGAGCAAAACTCGTAAGGCTTCCGAACCAGTAGCCATTTTAATTTTCAGGTGTTGGGCTATAAAATCCCAATAATCTTCCCAGAAAATCATGTCGGTTTCTTCTTGGCTGGTAAGTTTGGTTTGTAAGACTTGGACTTCCTTGACTACACTACTTTGCTCGGTAGAATTAGCAATAATTTCATCGAGAAGAGAACTGATTAATAAGCTATCAACTTTTTTGGTAAGCAGGGTTTTTTTCTGCACGAGGTTGGATAGTCCGTTATCTAACACCACATAAACCCGGAAATAAATGATATCTTCTAATTTTTTGGAGGGAATTTTTAGTAATTTACTCAATTGGGTAACGTGCGACTTGAAGATAAGCATATTAGTGACCGGTATAGCCAAATGATAATGAGCCGGTCGCCACCTTTGATTATCTTTTTCTTCGATTTTTCCGCCACAGTGGTCACAGAGCAGCCCTTCGCTTTCCCGACCTTGGTGTTTACCACAATAACACTCAAAATTGCGGTTAGGCCAGATTTTTCAGTCAAAAAGACCACCAGCTTCCGGCTTGAAAGTGCGGGCGTTAATGGTCTTGGGATTAGTAATTTCTCCGTGAGAGATTTGTTTTATTCTTTGGGACGAAAGCCAGGTTAGTTTGAGAGATTTAATGAGGGTCATGCTTACTTTTTGGCGAAATATTTATAAAAATCGATTTCCTTGTCGTAATAATCGGTGGCTTGTATATCAAAACCAATGGCTCGTAAGTATTGGATTGTCATATTAAATGATTCGGGTTTGTTACTGTTACGAAGACGCACCGGACGTTCCGAAAAAGTTAAGGCATTTTGGAGCCGGTGGCTCTCGTGAATGTCATCAGACTTGGCTCCGGTAAGTTCCATTAAGTTTGCAGCCAAACCATGAGCTATTGCGGCCTCGATTTCCATGTTGCCATAACGTTGACACCCGCCTTGGGAGCGACCACGGAGGGGTTGACGAGTAACTAAGGACCGTGGGCCCCGGTTTTGTTGGTGAACTTTGTCAGCGACCATATGATTTAATTTAACAATATAAGTATATCCCGTATAAACCGGATGAGCGAAAGG